TGAAGTTCTACAGCTTGATACAAGAAGGTTCAAGACAAAGTAAGCATTGAAAAAGCATCCCTGGACCTCAAGGAAGCTTTTCCAATCATTACATTGCACTGAAAGTCTCTCATTCTCCACATAGAAGTTCAACTGCACAGGTAAAAGTTTGAATTCGTATCTCTCTTATTATGCATCTTTAGTCTTAAGTTTGTGAAGAAACAAGGTCCTACTCATAGCCCTGAACATGTACATAGCTTTACTTTTCATTTCTTTTGTCTGAGTAGAGAGAATTTGAGCTCTGAAAATGGTAGAAAAACTAGGTCAGAAATGGGGGGGAGAGAAATTCTCCCTCATCTTAGAGAGATAGTTCATGTTCTTTATATGTATGAAATCGTGAGATTATGCTTTACATGTTTTGTGTTGGAAGTTTGTTCAAAGGATCAAAGAATCAGGACCTTGATGTTGAAGCAAGAGGCGCGTGTTTTTGAACTCAGTCTTGGCCAAAGGTTGAAGACAGTGTTTCATTGGGCTGGGCTTTTGTGTTCTTTCTTTTCACACCATCTTTTTTGGTTTACACCCCCCTGAGCCCATTTGTTCATTCTTTAACATTTTTGACTTTTTCTTTTTTGGCTGACTTTGTTTATTTTTTCTCATGCCATTTAAAAATTAAAAATATTTTTTCCATCATTTTTTGCATTTATTGCATATTTATTTGTTTATTTTCTTTGTTTGTACATTAATATATATATATATACCATTATTATAATAAAATAGAAAAAAGGTGTAAATACATTTTTATTTTATTTACCTTCTGAAAATATTTCACACAAAAAATACTTTTTTTATTTATTTTATTAAAATATTAAAATACTTATTTTGTGTATAATGCATATTTAGGGTTTAATATATATATATATATATATATATATATATATATATATATATATATATATATATATATATATATATATATATATATATATATATATATATATATATATATATATATATATATATATATATATATATATATATATATATATATATATATATATATATATATATATATATATATATATATATATATATATATATATATATATATATATATATATATATATATATATATATATATATATATATATATATATATATATATATATATATATATATATATATATATATATATATATATATATATATATATATATATATATATATATATATATATATATGTGATTATTAATATATTTAAGACAAAAATATAAAAAAATACTTGATTTTTTTCATTTTTATTAATATTTGATATAAAAATACCTTTTTTCACAATACACTTCATTTTTATTTTATTTTTATAAATAATAAATAAATAGTTGTATTAAATTAGAAGATAATACCTTTTTCTTTAAAAATTAGGGTTTTTGCCCTAAATTCAAAATACTCAAAAAAATAATACATTTTTATTTTCCTTTCCCTTTTACATAAATAATATTTTCTCATACACATAAAAAACTTTCTTTCTGCATTTCACATATTTATTTAATTTACATTTAATTATGCAATTTATTTACCTTGCAAATATTCAAAATGATGTAATAATCTAGATTTAAATCCTTGTCAATATCCCCATTTGAACATTTGTACCCCCCTTCCCATATTTGGTTTTGTAATAGCTTAGTAATTTTAATTTCGCACTTTATTGCTTTCTAATGATAACATGCTAGAATTAGGGTTTGTATGCGAAAAAACGATAAAAAATAGTTTGACCTAATACAAGATAAAACAAGCATGAAAATGGACACACAAATCACACTTGCACCCCCTAGGGTATTCCACTTGTTGCCTTCAAATAAATGGGCCATATTGCATGTTAAACTTCTTTGGGCAAAGTAAGCAATTTGAATGATCATAGTCTCTCGACAAAACTTTTCAAAAACAAACAAAAACAAATGATCAAGTCCCTTAAAGAAAATTGCCCAAGGACATTTAACGCCGTTGCAATTATGGTCTAAAACGATGATCCGCGCCTGTCCCTCTCACATCCTAACACAAGGTTGCCCACCAAATACAATGGTGGAGCAAACTTGTTAAAAGGGTTAAAGTATAGCAATGATCTTTTGAGAAATTTAGGAGTAGATAACCTCTTAGTTACTTGAATCAACTTGCAAAACAAAACACTTGCCTAATTTCAAAATCACACCTCACAACACTTTCAAAACAACTTTCAAAAACAAATGAAAACTTTTTCAAAATACATACATTTTTGTATACATCCCCACATGGATCATTACAAAGGTTGCCACCACATTGGCCTCTTTTCAAAAACATTTTCAAAACCCACACACTCAAGCACCATTTAAAACAATTGAAAACAAAAGGCAAGTGATCTAAGCAAGTAACTAAGAGCCCATGGATAACCATGGATAGAAAGGGTGCTAATACCTTCCCTTTCTATAATCTACTCCCCGAACCCAAGAAAACATCTCAAAAGGTTTTTGCTGTGCTTTTTAACCTTTCCTTAGGATAAAATAAAAAGTCAGTGGCGACTCTTGCTAACCGCAACATTTGCGAATACAAACGCAAACCTCAAGTCAGTTCTCCCACCGTATCACAGATACCAATTATGGGGTGAAAATATGGACATAAAGAGGTCTAGAATATGGGGGGGATTGAATAGGCCATTTCCCTTTAAGATAATTTTCAAAAACATTTTAGGTCATATATGTGAAATCAAAGATTTTAAGAAGCATATAAGCAAAACACAAAAATAAGAGAGCTTGGAAGCATCTCAGTGAATTAAACCAAGTGAAATAATACATGATATTTACTTAGCACTTGATTATTTCTAATGCAAGTCAATCACAAGATAGACAAAACTGCTTTAAACAAAGCTATTTCAAAAACTCTTCACATAGATGTTCTAAACAAAACATAATTGAATTCATGATACTTCAATAAGACTGATACACCTCAAACCTAAGCTTATGCGATAAATCTCTATAAGAAAAGTCTAACTTATATGGCATACAATCAATGCAATATAAAAAAAAATGAATAATATAAAATTAAAGGAGATAAGGGAAAAGGAAAATATACGCAGCGATATATAGTGGTTCATCGTCCGTCCTCGCTTTGTCTACTCCACTATTCAATAGTGTTGAAAGCCACTGGAAAATAATCATGATCTTCCACTACTTTGATAAGTTTGATTACAACCATTTTAGTTACAACGAACTGTCAAACGATATTTCCCTATGTTGATGCAGACACTCAACTGCTGACAAAAACAATATCTCTACAAGATCTTGATCCATTAACCTTGATATCCACAATAATCTTGCTCCAAGTATTCGTATGTGGCAATCCACCTGATCCCACTAATTTCTTGATTGAGTAAATGTCATGGCCAAACATTGATTGAACAACTCCCAACTTTGTCTACGAGCAATCTTTCTCCAACCCCACCAAAGATGGACAAATTTCATCTCCGCCTTACAAGCAGTTGATACTTGATCTCACCAAAGTCTTCCTTAGAGTATAATGAAACTCCCATCTAGATAGATAACATTAAATACCAAATTGCATTCAAGAAATGATACACGCACCTGTAACAAACAACAAACTTCATACAAAAACATTAAATTTCTAATGTACCACTGATCTCCCTCAACACTCAATCTTTAGAAGTGAAGGTCCTCAACAAGGAAAAAAGACTAAGGATGAAGATGATGAACAGTTCCGAAATATCTCACAACCACTCAAACAACAAAAGGTGTTAGTCAAGGTTTGATGAACGTGAATGAAGAATGAACACACAATGTTCTCTCAAAATTCTGGATAAATAGGTATTGAGTTTGATTGTCATCTTAATCATGAATAACATAACAAGATTAATCAACTCACTTTCTATAATTTACTTATATAATTTTTTCTTCTTTCACAAGGTGAGACATACATCATAATGTATGATGTCTGATGCCTGCTACATCTTCCGATCAGAGAAAAATTGTTAGACAAGGGTGTGGTTTACTTGAGATACTTTACTGACTTTTGAAATTTTTTAAAAATATTAGGTTTTAAAAAAAATATAATTACTAAATTTTGTGGTTAATTTTTTTGTTGTTTAGAAAATATAATTGAAAATAAACAAGTTTAGATAAAAGGAAAAAAATGTAAAATTTAAAGAAAAAATATAATAAAGTTTATGTTATCTTTTATATATATTAGTGTTATTATGGAACCAATGCACCTGGTCTTCTTTAATAAAACATTGATAAAAATAGTCAAAACTTTATAGTTATTTAACTAAAAAAAGTTACATCCGTTACATTATTTGAATACTTAGAAAAAAAATTATAAATAAATGTATCTACTTACAATAAAAATTCAATATTTTTTGATAACAAAATGAATATTAATATTTTAAAACATTAAATTTAGAGAAAAAATATATTGACCGTCTACTAAATTACTATACTTTTAATTTTAAAATACTGATATGACATGATTGAATAGTAATTTATATTAACAGTATATTACCTTTAATACTAGTTACCAAATTAAATATATATATACTTATAATAAAAATATAAAAATAAAAATAAAAACAATAATTTTAGTTTGATAATCTATACGAAGAATATTAATATTTTTAAAAATATAAAAAATGTTGCTTTAATTATTAATTAACATGTTTTTGTTTATTAGTAGTAGTAATTTGGATCTTAAGAAAAAGAATCGAGAATATAGAAGAGGGTAATATGGTAATATGACGAAAGGAAGGAGAAATACCCGCGTAGTGAGAGTCGGTTACTTTGGCTATAAAAACAAACCCTTACCCTTGGTTTCTCTCATTTGTCACATGCCATTCAGATCTTAGAGTTTTCTCTCTGCTTCGCCCCCTTTTATTTATCGACGAATTCAGGTTCTCAACAGCCATATTTAAATCTCTTGTATTTTCTGGCAACATTCCTCCAAATTCATTCCTCAGCTTCTGCAATTCAAATAAACAATCTCGCATGGTATTTCCTATATCTCTGATTTTTCATTGCAGTTTCGCGAGACGTATTGATTCATGTTTTTTCATTTCAGTTTGTCGAATATGATTTTGAGAGATATTGATTCATGTTTTTACATTTTCAACTTCAGTTTGTTGAATATGACTTTGGGAGATATTGATTCATGTTTTTACATTACATTTTCAACTGCACTTTGTTGAATATGATTTTGAGAGATATTGATTCATGTTTTTACATTTTCAACTTCAGTTTGTTGAATATGACTTTGGGAGATATTGATTCATGTTTTTACATTACATTTTCAACTGCACTTTGTTGAATATGACTCTGGGAGATATTGATTCATGTTTTTTTCTTCTTTTTTATCAGGTACTTATCCGAATGTCTAATTCCATGATGAAGAAAGTTAAACTTAGTGATAGCCGTAGAATGTCTAATACTGTGACGAAGAAAGTTGAAGTCAGTGAGAACGAGCACAAAGACATGCTCAGCGACTTACCCGATTGCCTTATCCTTCATATACTCTCTTTTTTGACTACCAAACACGCTGTTAGAACATTCATTTTATCCTCAAGATGGAAGGATCTCTGGAAACGTCTCCCTGCTCTTAGTTTTGGTTATCGAGACTTTCGATCTGCTGATATATTCAACGAGTTTGTGTTTAAGGTTTTATCTCTTCGCGATTCTTCTACCTCACTGCACACTCTCCACTTTGATAATAGAATTTGTCGCTTGGAGCCTCACATACTCACATTTGTGGTCAATTATGCTCTTTCACACAATGTTCAACTGTTCGGACTTAGTGCAGCTAGTGGCATTGCACAAATTCCTCTCCAATTATTTTCATCTAAGACTTTAAAACATCTCACCCTTGCTATTTCCAATTTCAATGGTGGCTTTCACCATACTTCTCTCAATTTGCCATCATTAACATATCTTAAGCTTTCTATTCATCATGCTGCTGTTGTAACCCCGTTTCCAAAATCTCTCACTTTGCCAGCATTATCTACTTTGGAACTAGAGTATCTTACATTTTATGTTGACCACAATGGTTGCGCCGAACCATTTTCGACCTTTAGTAGGTTGGAGAGTTTGTTCATTTCTCAATGCACTGTGAAAGGTGCAGGAACCCTCTGCATATCAAGCCTGACCCTCGTCAATTTTACTATGTACATTGAGTCAGATGAAGACGACTATTATAAAATTGTTCTTTGCACTCCCAGTCTTTCTACATTTGCTTTTAGTGGATATCCTCATCAGGATATCTCTTGGAGCAATGTTTCTTCTCTTCAACATGTACATATTGACGTTGGAGTATTTCTAAGTAGTCGTGGGCCTCCTTTCTTTCTGTTCAAATGGCTCTCCGAGTTTGCTAATATAAAATCATTGACAGTCACTGCATCTACTCTTCAGGTACATTAACTTAACATCTTTTGAGGCTGTGTTTTTATTTTCTTCTAAATTTCATAAAAAATTATTTGACTTGCATTACACTAATATGCTTGCATCCCTCATTCTGTAGACTCTCTCTTTAATTCCTGGACTGTTGGGGTTTAAGATTCCTTCCTTGGGTAAATTGAAGTCACTGAAAGTGGAAATTGACGAAATTAAGTATGGACTCCGCCTTGCGTTATGCAATGTCAAGTTGCAGAACATAAAGTCAAAGGAAGAAGCCGGTAGGATACAGAAAGCATATGATTTAGGATTGGAACCATCTCCGCTCGTACCCGATGGAATTGTGGGCTTCTTGCTCCAAAATTCACCCTCGGCTGAAGTTGATTTTGTTGATGGCAGAAAACAAAAACCTCTTAGATGGCGACATTAATAATTGGTTTGTTTTAATTTTTCATTCCTTCTAATCTTTATGTTTATAAAGATATATTTGGTTATAACTAGTTATTATTAGTGGATAAATTACAAGTTTCTTGGCTAAAGAAAAAAAAAGTACATGTATATTGACATGATTGTGTCTAGCCTCAACCTGAGTGGATGCTCTAAAGTAAGGATTATATTGCTATGCTGGTACTCTATGTGACGGTTTGCATTCGCCATTTTGATTTAGTATCTAGCAGTCAACTTTATTGTTATATTTGTAGATGCAAATTCAAATGTCGTGTCAGTTTGACATATTTTTGCTTCTCACATTACATTATTTAACATGCAGGAATCTGCATGGTTGTTATAATTCTTCAGAGTTCGGATACAATACAAGTATGCTCATACTTGATAGCTTCTATTTAGTGATCCATCATAGACAATAGAAGCAGGGAGTTGTTGTTAATGTTTGGAAAGTTGGGAGAAGCTATGATGTTCAGGTGTAACAATATTTAGTCTGCAACATTGATACTAGTTGAAGTGCCAAATATTATTTATGTATGTTTAAGTTATTTGTCAATCTTCGGAGTTTGTGGCTGTTCATTGAGATTATACTAGATTTATTGGACCTATCTGATGCAACATATGTGATTGCTTATAATTCCCTCACATATGTTGATTGACTTTGCATATTCAGATTGATGATTTCCATAAGTTGTTTTTGGCCTCTCATTTGGCTTAACCAAAGTTTGATGATAACTAGAACTCAAAAACCAAGTTAAATAAAAAAGAGTGGTATGTGTAATTCATCTGGCTGTTCATTTGCAATTAGAATTAGATTCACAATGGTCTTTACGTTAATCAATACAAAAACATCAAATACTGTTGTTGTATAATGCCTTGATCTAACTACCTACCTGAACCATGGCAAGTTATGTTTAGAGATAAAGGGTCCGTTTGTTTCAATTTTAAAAAAATAATTTTTTCTTTGTATTTTTGAAAATAAATTTTAGAAAATTATTTTTCAAAATATTACAACTTATTTTATGTTTGTTCTTTTTTTTTTAAATTGAAACATTAATTTTGACATCTTATAACATAAATATGTATTATTGAATATTAAAACATGATTAAAATCATAATTTTTTTTAAAAAGTTGTATTTCAAAAATGATTTTTATAATAATCTATTTGAAATAGTTTCAAAATTAAGTGATTTTTTTGAAATTTTAATATAAAATTTCAATAAGAAGATGAAATATCTAAAATAACATTTTAAGAATAACTATTTAAACAAATTCATTTGAAATTTTTATGAAAAGTTTCTTTATAAATTTTTTTATACAAAATTATATAATATTATACAAATCATTAAAAAAAATTAAGAAAAACGAATTTAAAATTCCATAGTCAAGGAACTATAATTTATTATATGTATTTGAAAGTAAACATACAGGCGGTGACAATGTGGGACCATTGGATAATATTTGGATCTTTCTCTCATGAATGTTCTTTGAAATCTTGACAATTTCTTTTTTGCCCCTTGTAGGTTGTCTCAAACTTTCGATGAAAAATAAAAAATGCTCTTATGTTTCAAAGATGTATGTGATTCAGAGATGTATATTCGTAAATACTTCAAATGAAAAACATAAACAAAGATAGTATGGAAAAACTTATAATTGATAATCATAACAATTTGACATTAAATTAAAACACAATATTATCTAGATAATTTATAATTGGAAAATTAACATTACATATCGCTTTAAACGGGTAGTTCTGAACGTTGCAACATGTTGATATACATATTCGAACTCACCGTATTATATATTTAGAGAGGCTTATTCGAATATGTTTGTCTGAAACAATTTTTTGGTCAAGATCAAGGGGTTTTGCATGTGCATCTCTGAATAGACTTCATAATTTAATTTCAGAGGATTTTCAGAGATGCATATCAGAAACATGTTAACTATGTTTTGGTTCAGAACAAAATCCCTCATTCTCTCTTTTGAGTAAGTTTCTATGAATCTATTGTTCAAATTTGCATGTGTATAATAGGTTATTTAGAATTAAATTCATTAAGTCGAAGTATAACTTGTAAAGTGTGGTTGTTTGGGTGTGAAAATGAAGTTTTTTGGTGATTTAGGTTGAAGGTCTGAAAATGGTGTCGCATGTGTTTTCGGATGTGCTTATCCGAAAAACCCTCTGAGTATTTTCAGATAAGCACATCTGAAATTATGCCTGAGTTGTCTTTTTTTCTTAATTTTTTAAAACTTGTTCCTTCCCTTTGAGTAATGATTATTTTTTCAGAAAAATGGATGAGAATCAAAACAACATATTGAGACCTGGCAGGCCAAGCAGACTTCCTCCACTCGGCGTGAGTGAGCTAAGTAGTCTACTAGGGGTAGAAGATGGGGTTAGGTACCGTGGAAAGAAGTGGTAGGAGCATCCACTTCTGTTATGAGAAGTCGCCTGTCTCATACGTCCTTGTCTCAGGATAATGAGCAGCAACTCGAGGAGGTTGATGTTTAGGAACAGGAATCCGAGGAGGTTAAGGTTCAAGCACAGATTGTCCATGATACACCAGTTGCACGACTACGTGCAATAATGGGGAAGATAAACCCGGGATATCCAGGAGGACCCTCTTACACCTCCCTCTAGATATATTACAATAATCATGCTACTCGGCATGTTTGAGATGGAGATGTATATTTTTTATTATACTTTTTTATTTAAATAATTTACGCACAAATATGTTAACGATTAACATTGAGAATAATATTTATTTTTACATGAACGGTTGCCCATAAAGTCTGTGAACCACGCACAGAAAATATTTGATTTACATCATCCTAATGAGGATTGGTTCAAGGAGGCTATTTTTGGCTCTGGACTTGCCAGACTTTGTTGTTCTGATTACGTTACTCTTAGCCACGACATGCAGGGGATATTTGTCGAGAGATGACACAAGGAGACGTCATCTTTTCATTTTCTTGTTGGGGAGATGATAATCACACTTGACGACGTCACATGCCTACTACACATTCCTATCAGAGGGAGATTACTTAACCACTCCCGAATCACTCATGGTGAAGCGGTTGAATGGATGGTCGAGTATCTGGGAGTTCAATCGAAAAAGATAACTAAACAATGTTCCTTAACTAATGGGGCTCATGCTAAGTTCTCATTCCTGAGCGACTTATATGTTGAGCACTTGGTTGCGTCAGCATCTTTCGAGAGCGATGACAATGAATTCTTTGTTCAATACCACCACCAGTGTTCTTTTCGATGTTACTTCATGTTCTTGGTTGGCACATCCATTTTTGTTGACAAAAGTGAAACCTACGTGGATGTGACATATCTCCAATACTTCATAGATTTAGATACAATTATGGAGTGGAACTGGGGGTTGGTTGTTTGGTATATAAATACCAAAAGCTGAATGAAACTTCTAACTAGAGGACAAAGCAGCTGACAGGCTCTTGCACAATGCTCATGGTACCCTTCATTCCAACTATTAAATTTAAATTGCTATTAATAATTTGTTCTTACATAGCTCTTATTTGTTTTTCAGGGATGAATCCTTTCTCATTTTCACCGCATTCATGGTTTCGATTTTGATATGCAGTATAGTGAGAAGATTTCGAGGGCTCCCATGTATATCCTCCATAGAGAGAATCATTTTGTGTCGCTGTTCCGGGTGTATCTTGAACTGATTGTTCATGATGACATCATTTGGACGTCATTTGATGACCACATGGAGATTGTCCCTTTCGACCTCATATTATTATACTCAGGATGGTTGGCATGTGGGACTGATATTATGCTCATGTATCTTTCGGAGTAATGCATCCGATAATTTGGTTATGTGTAGCGCGTATCCAGATCTCCCTTTAAGTCTGCTCCTGACACCATTGTCCACCGGGAACTCGATGTATGTTTCAAGATTGAGAGAATCATATGGTGCCAGAGGAGTATCAGATGATGCAGGCATCGACCAGCTGGCATTGTGTAGAGGGATACGTGACATGGTTCTATACATTGTCACACCATATCATGACACTGAATGCTCCTGAACGTCCACCTAGACCAGCTCATGAGGATATCTTGGAGAACCAACAGGTCTAAGATGACCATGCCACTGATGTCTTACTGATCTGTCAGCGGATTGGACAAAAGACTTTGGACATAAGAATCAGAGGGGTGGTCATGAGGAGGTGGACATCGTAGCGAGGATAGTTAGGGAGGCATCGAGTGCAACGGGATACAGGAGGAAGAGGAGGAGTCAGGGGTTAGGATTAAGCATACACATGAGGCTATGTTTTTTATATTTACCGATGTAATCATTTTATGTTCCGTAGTTTCTGAACAATTTATGTATTATTTTTCGGTGTTTTTGAACAATTCAGTGTTATGTTCGTATTATTTTTCGTTTGCGTGTTTATTAACGTTTTAACCGAATTACGTATCAAATCTTTTTGTTTATTACATACCTGCATTAATGTTTTTTTTTTAAAAACCATTATGTCCAATATTTCGGATATGCATATCTGAAACACCTATTCTCACGTCTTTAAGCTGCTTTCGAAGATCCATCTCTGAAAATACTACTGAATATTTAAATACAACGTTCAAATAATAAAAATGTGTAAACATAAGTATTTTAGGAGATGTATTTTTAAAACTCTTTAAAATTTATTAAAATACATTCGAAAATACATCTCCAAATAACATTTTGAAATTTTCAAAAATTTAATTAATTATATAAAACGATGGTATCGAAGGTAGTCTCAATGAAAGTGGTGGAGAGGTTTTGTTAGTAAGATTATTAATTGAATGCGATTTATTATCTGATTATCAATTTTAGATGGTAAATGAGATCACCGATACTTCTATGTTGATGAAAATTAAAAAATATATTATATATTCAATAATATATTAAAGAAAAGGCTATCAAAGACAAAAAATAATTTATGAATAAAAAATGTATATTGATCGAATTGAGTTAATTACAACTATCAATAAATTTAATTTAATTTTAAAAAAAATTCATCTATAAAGTTAACTAAAAGTTTTGTCATGGTTGTGATAATCATTAACATAAATTATTAATAGGGTTAGTAAAAAATATTTTTAAAATATAAAAATTTATATTAATTTTATAAATATTGAGTTTTTGTCATTATAATAATTTATTCTATAAAAATTTATAAAAGTTTTCTTTAATTAAAATAGAATTTCTTTAGCTCTCATCAAATTAAACTTTTGGGTCCTGCTCTATTCTCTTAGCCCATAACTATTAATTATTATTATTAGGTGATATCCGATGAACACTTTACATGAAATAATTTTTTTGGAATGTGTTAATATCGAGTTCAAGAAAGTTGAAATAAAAAACTTGTATTTGATATGAGAGCCCGCTTGAACTGATAGGTGAATTTTGTGGTTTTCATAAAAGCCATGACTACCGAAGGGTTCATTAAGAATGGATGACAAAATGAGTATATGAAATATGGGAAGGGGATCATCATAGAGTCGCCAAAGAAAGGGTATTATCCCAATACGACAATCGAGGTTGTCGTCAGAGGGAAGAGTAAGGATGCAAGCATAGAAGAAGAGCATAAAGGCAAACATCTATACGTTTCTTCCGTAACAGGGGGAGCTCCAAAGTCCAACATGTCGTCCAAGAGCACAATCAAAAGAAAGATTGTCAAGTTACTGTCTGTTAGTAGGAAACAAGGGATTAACTCGTCCTATATTTCGAGAGAGTGAGAAGGTAGGGGGAATATCAAAACAAAATATTCTCTTTAGTAATGATAATGACCATAGTTAACTTTGATGTTGTTAGACGATAGACTACGATCTAGAGGGGGTTGAATAAACCGTAAATGAAATTTTCTAATTAAAATTATGTTTTAAAAGCTTTTTAACTATGGAGCGTGGAAATCAATCCGGATCGACAATCGTCTATCCGAACCATTATCAGAAAGATCGAATATGCGTTAAATTGATAGAACAAATAATATACTATGAGAGAAACAATCAATATATTTTTCAATAATTTAGTTTGAATATAAACCAAACTATAACAATCAATTTCCAATGAAATAATAACAAAAATAATCGACTTAACAACTTATCGAACACTTGATGTAAAATCGACTCGAAACATATTTTTCTATGGTTTTGTTGATATATAAATCCAATTACAATCACAAATTGTAATTAACTCAACAAAAACAATTTGAAATATTAGACAAAGAGATTATCTCGATGTGTCGATTGCACAATCACATTTTCACAAATTACAGGTAAAAGTAAAATTGAGTAAGAGAAAAATAGAGAGACACAAGGATTTGTTTAAGGAGTTTCCCAATCGGTCTTGTTATGAGTACGTCTTCCCCCAATTCCACTCGGAATAAAGATAATGAAAATTAACCTTTGTAAAATGTTGATTACAAGAGAACAAGTATCAATCCAACAACCCAAACCTTAGGTTGATGTTGATCCTAACTTTTCTCTCCCCTTGATCTTGAGCTCAATCAAGTAACTCGATATTTCCAATTTTATCCTCCGGTTACCGCTACTCCTTCGACGAAAACCCCAGTTCTTAGAAGCCTTTCCTCAGTTGAATCCAAATTGTGAACGTATCGTGATCCAATATTACCAAAGTAATCATCTGATTATTGTTTCTCCTTCGACAAAAACCCCTGTTCTTCAAAGCTTTTACTCTGTTGAATCCAAATTGCTTGTGCGAAGCTCCCAAATCAATCATTGATCTTAGAAGAAAATTCAAACGAATTTATCTTGAAACCCCCACAGAATTTCCAACTTAATTGATTACACCAAATACTAATTGGACCTTATCAAACTATTTCAAGATCACACAACAAAAATAATCATGTGTAGTTGTTGAATGTATGCAATAAGAGAATGAAGATGATGAAAAATTATGTGTATATTTGTGGTTTCAATGATGAGAAATGATGCATGAATGAGTATATATATGTGTGAGAGTGTGAAAGAATGAAATAAAATAAATAGGGTTGCAAAATTACAAAATTTGATATTTTGATCAGTGAGAGCCAACTCATTCAAAGTGTGAGTCGATTCCTAAGGGCAAGGGAGTCGACCCATATAATATGGGAGTCTACTCCTTTTGGACATAAAGGAACTTTTCAAAAACAATTTCAGTAGGAGTCGAGACATAACAATGGGAGTCAACTCCTTTTTGTTATGTATTGACTCCAAATGCATGGTAGTCGACTCCTTTATGGCAGAGAAATCATTTTCGAAAACACTTTAAGTGGGAATCGACCCACAACTCGAGGGAGTTGACTCCTTCGTGATATGTATCAACTCCAAGACCCTGGGAGTCGACTCCTTTGGATAAGAGAGTTTCCTTTTCAATTTATTTTAGTGGGAGTCGAATCCTAACACGAATGAGTTGACTCCAAACATGATTTTTCATAAAAATGCATATTTTTTAAGTTTTAGCCATGTCCAAAAGCTTATGACTTGAATCCTAAGTGTCCTAAGATGAATATGCAACCTAGACATAGATAGATAAGGTTCAATATATAAATACTACATATTAACTAGTTTGAGCATTATTCAAAATATCTAAGAGAGGATATTACAGTCACATACTCCCTCTTTTT